GGCAGGGTGCTGGGCCCATGAGCTGGCTTCCCACAGTACCGGGTTCGGAGCACAGCTGGGTTTCTCTCTGCTCAGGGGCTGGAATCTGAAAGAGCGTCCACGTAAGTAGTGCTGTTCACTCTTAGCCCATCAAAAATAGCATGACTGGCTGCCTTACTGCCTGTCATGCAAAACAGTTCCAATTACAGACCATCACAAGTCTTCTGCTTGCTGTTCTTGAGCATTTGTATATGCTGAATCATTCCTACGGCAGCGATGGCTGCTCCCAGCTTGCAGCCCCGGTGATTTCACATCGAGCCCCTCACCCTTGGCACATCAGCCTCCCCCTACCTCAGCAGTGAAGCGACATTTTCAGCCACTGGTTTGTAAGACGGAGTAAGAAATAAGTTTGTGCAAGCCTAGATGTGAATATAAATCTCCACCTTCGAAAAAAATAAAAAATAAAAAATAAAATTGCCACCACACAAAGGTTCCTCTGTTGCACTTGTAACTGAGATGCTGCTGTGCAGGGAAGCAGGAAGTCGAATGAGCTGCAAGCGAGAGGGGTCGTGGCTGCTGAAATGCAGGAACTAAAAGCACCAAAAATAGAGAAATGCATGCTTAGATCCTCCCCTTTCCCTTACGTTCTTATTCAGTGGTATTTTTACAGTAGGTGTTTTGAAGGTGCCTTATGCCATGCCCTCTTCCCGGGCCACCTTCTCTGTACCAAAATCCTCTTAAATGAGAGCTGGTCAGTGCATAATGCCCATGTATAGTGCTGGCTTCGGAAGCACAGCTTCACTCGACACTTCACTGCAGGAAAACTCATTCCAGGCATTACTGAAGTCTTCCTTAAGTCCTGTTTCGGGGATTTGAGTGGGATGGGCATTTTGTGTCGGTCCTTCCCAAGGTTGGCTGCACCCTGCGTGTGGGGAAGAGGCAGCTGCAACGCAGGCAGCCCTCGTGTGCAGGGATATGGGCAACTGGAGAGCAAGACTTTACGTTTTTGGGATGATTGCAGATGCATTGTAGGAGGCTGTGAAGCAATGGGAAGGTTTTGCAAGTGCAGCACACAGTGGTGCTTCTTGGAAGGGAGAGATTTGGGGAATTTCTTTGCTGCTGGCCTTTATCTGGAGCAGAGGTTTCTTGCAGGGCTTTTTGAGCCAAAATAAGTGCATGATCCTCCTGTATCCCTCAGGCATCATGGCCTTCCACTCTCCTTTGAGAATTGTCATCAAGCCTTTGGGAGACCCGCAGCGCTGGCAGGGCTGTGCTGCACCCCCTGCTCCCTCCAAACCACTGCTGCGTGTGCTGACCGGCAGCAGGGCCTCTCCAGAAAACACCTCACAAGATCCTCCCATGAAGGTTATTGATCTATTAATATCGCCTTGAAGTGCAGCCCTCATGCCACGTGGTTTGGGAGAGGGTTTGATTCATTCATCCACCAGCCCTCAAGTAAGCACCACACACATTTGTCACGCAGCGAGCGCCCAGCCCTCCCTGGTGCAGAGCCACGCGATTAAATCAATCAGCTCCATATTTTTTAAATACTTCGTGTCACGCAGGAAAGCCTGAGTCATTGCCCAAGGCATGCTGTTATCAGCAGAGGTCTGTTGGTAATGTTTCCCTCCCAGGGCTCAGCATGTTGGTAGGCTGCAACTGGAAATCTGCAGCAACAGAAGAGGATTGCATCACTCGCCACGGGCACTGGGAATCGGGGGGACACAGCCACACGGCTGCAGATGATGCCAGGAGAAACCAGGGCTCCCAGCTGGAGCTGGCTGTAGCCAGAATAAAACCTCTGCAGGTCACGGGGCTGATGTACTGGTGGGGCCAACAGCTCGGGTCAGATGTGGCTGGAAGGTGTAGGGTGCAGGAGGGGAGTCGAGGGAGATGGATGAGCCAGTGAGGAGTGGTCTGAAACACACCTGAGTGGGGTTGGGAAAGGCTTTTGTAATTTCTCACATACATAATATGCATGCCAAGAAGCACGGGAAGCTCCCAGAGGCCACGTTTCTCCTGCCCGTTGTCCCTCTGGGCTTGGGTTCAGCATAAGGAAAGTCCTGAGCTGACGGCCTCACCAGGGCTGCTGGAAGGCTGAGATTTAGGGGCGCAGGGAGTGCTGCTCTAACCACAAGAAATCAGAAAGCATTTCAATGACTCCTGGGAGAATTAGTTGTGGTTTTGAACCCTGCTCCTGTGCGCTCGGGCTTTCAGACAAAAGCCACATTTTTCACTCCATTTCCCTTTTCCTGGGACAGATGGCAAAGCAGGGAGGAGCTGGCAGGAGACACCTGAGCACAGGGCATGGAGCAGCACGGGATGGCAGGAGGGGAGCACAGCACCCAGGCTGGAGAATTTGTACAGAAAGTCCTCGGGCTTTGTCTCCATACCAGCACTTCCTCCAACTGGTTCCCAGACTAAATATATTCATGACCTGCTTATCTTTGCTTGAGTTTGGGCCATGATTTTTGCAAAAATCTAACACCCAGCCCACATATGTACTCGAAATGCTGTCTCATATCAGATGCTTAGACCAAATCCTGCAATTCTTGCACGTAGGAAGAAATCTCCCAGTGACTTTGGTGACCCTATTCCCCATATAATATTGCAATAAGGGCTGGTAGGCTTGGCCCACTCCAGACCAGCTCCTGCCTTCCCAGCCATGTACCCACACAGTCCAGCTGTTAGTCCAGCAGCAGAATGAGGTGAGTTACGTCCTGGAGATTCAAAGCAGTGCTTTACATCCCTGCAGTAATCCTGCTGTAAATCCAAAACCGCCTTCCTTCATGTTTGTCCTGGGGCTCTGCAGAGGTTAAGATTGAAGCATGCTCCAGCTGAGAACTTCCAAAATAACATCATGGGGTTTGCATCACCAGCAAGTTCGGTCACGGCACAGCTCTGGCTTCCTCTGTCCCCCTGCCGCGGTGCTTCCCTCGCCGCAGGAAGCAGTGCAGGAGGAAAGGTTGCTGGGTTGCACCCAGCCCCTGCCCTTGGTGGCTGTGCTGCTGTCGTGCCACCCATCCGTTTCGGCAGCGGATTCCTTGAAACACAGCACCGTGCCCACTACAGTCTCACACCGTGAGCTCGCACGCTTGTCAGAGGGAGATGAAAGCTCCCCAGCACCAACAGCAGCAACACTCAGACCTCCAAATTCAGCTTTGAAGATAGCAGCCCACAAAGCTACGGAGGCTGGCTCCTTGCTGCTTCATCCTGTGCTGACTCAGTGGGACGATTTACATCCTACAGCTGTTTTTACAAGGAAAGAATGAAAAAAACATCTTTTTTTTTTTTTTTTACTGGATTCTTGGGTTCTCAAGAACTGTTTGCAGAAAGCCTGGCTAAGTTTCCATGCCCATTCATCCCTTGGCTTACTTGATAAGCTTGCCAGCAGGAAAGATTTTAATTCCTTTTTATCCCAAATTATTTTTTCACGGCTGTGACATGAGATGATTCCGCCCAATAATTTAGGCTCAAAATTTGACCTATATTGAATGTTGTAAGATGCTAAGGATGTTCTTAGGATTTTAAGGGGAGACTTTGTACTGCACCATGTTATTTTAATAGCTTTTAATGAAAGCCTGGAAGAAACAGCATATGTTTCCAATCTTATTACTATTATTATTAAGTACTATTAATACTATAAGACAAACATTGATGTCCTACTTGCAACTGTATGCAACAACAAAAATAAAAGAATCTTACGAAACAGTCATATGAGAAGACTGAGCACCTGTATGCATTTTATCAGACAGTTTCAAAATCTGTTCTTTATTCCATGCCCACATTTCAGGCCATCTCCTTAGACATCAGTTTGGTTGCTGGAGGAGAATGTGAACAATTTTTAGAGATGTCACCTAGCTTTTTTAAAACCAGGACCCTGGCTGGCAAAAGCAATTGCCATTCCATGGGTCCAGCATTGCAAATACACGAACTCCTGCCTAATCTTAAATGTCTCAGCAGTCCCCTGCTCATGGCACATCGGGGCTGATGTGCTCCTGGCTATAGCATCAGGAGCACCCACTGCTTGGAGCATGCACGAGGGGAAGCACAGCGTGGCTGTGGGGCCAGGCAATCTATGGGGCCACCAGCGCCCACCCTGCTGTGCTCAGCACCAGCAGCTTCATCGCTCTTGCAAAACTCTCGGGTCACATCTGCAGGGCCCAGCAACGTCCTGGGAGGGCGGCAGAAAGGGCACAGCTCCCCGGCTTGCCAAGCACCCCGAGCATCATCCCGGGACGTGGCAGACATCAGCTCAAGTGCCTAAGGGGGGTGTTTATGCTGTGCAGTATAAACACGAGCCTGGGAAGCAGCGTGCTGTGCAGACATGTCTTGAGTCACTTTGCAGAGATAATACCAAGTTTATGTTCCTCCAGATCCCTACCAAGGCTTCTCCAGGTCTGCCTTTCCCATATACGGCCCCGCTCAGCGCTGCACTGCCCCAGCTTTGCTTTGGCAGCCTGGGAGCGTGGACGTTGACCGCTGGGTGCAGGTTTCGGGTGCTGCCGGTGAGTTGGGACTCGGGTACCCCTGTCCTTGGGGCATGCAATAACAGCCTTAATCCGCTGTTAGAGCAGCGGGCAGCCCCCACACACGAGTGCTCCTCGTTTGAGATGTCCCCGAGCTTGCACGACGGCTGTGGCACCGCGACACTGCTGGGGGGGCCCTGGGGGGGGCTGAGAGGGGAGATGGGGGAGTTTTAAAATGTCATAAAAAAAAAAAAAAAAAAGGACATGCTGAGGGGGAATAGGGGATGGCGGGGGTGATGTGGGGACGTGCAAAAAGGAGGCCGGGAGCCGGGGGCACCACGGAGCTGCCCGGGGTCGCTTGGAGGCTCTGAGCGGCGGCGCTAGGACCGCGCGTCCCCTCCTTGCCGGCCTCCCGGCGGGGAAGGGCGGGGCTCCTCGCGAACCCCCTCCCGCCCCCTCTCAACCAATGACCGCAGCGCCCCGCTGCGCCTCATTTGCATCTCGGCGCGTCGCAGCCAATGAGCGCGCGGGCTGGCGGCGGCGGCGGCGCGCTCGGAGCCGCCCCGGCTCATTCGGAGAATGGCCGCGGCCACGGCGTGCGGCTCCCCGGCGCCCCGGCCGCGCAGACGGGGCGACTCGCGGCGGAGGCAGGCCGCCCTCTTCTTCCTCACCAACATCTCCCTGGACGGCCGCCCGCCCTGCCCGGCCGCCGAGAAGCAGCCTCCCCTTCCTCCTCTCCTTCCTCCTCCTCCTCCTCTTCCTCCTCCTCCTCTGCCCTCCGGGGAAGGGGAGGAAGAAGAGGAAGAGGAGGAGGATGAGGAGGAGGTGGTCGGAGCCCCGCCGCGCTCGCTGGCCCCGCAGAGGGCTCCCCCCGGCTTTCCCGGTGCTTCGCTGCCGCCCGGTTCTTCCCCCGTTGCTGCGGGGAAAGGGGAAGCGGAGCAGCCCCGGGGGGGCGGCTTCTCGCCGCTGCCGCAGGGAGCCCCGCTCTGCCCGCTGCCGCCCGCCCCCCCGGGGCTGCCGGGCTCCGCTAAAGCGGGGGGGCCGGGGATGCTGAGCCCCGCGCCGGGAGCTGCGGGAGGCGGCTTGGCGCTGGAGGTGCAGCGGCAGAGGTGAGTGAGGGGCCGGAGCTGGGCTCCTTTCCCCCCCCCCCAGTCCTTATTCCCGGCCCTATAAACCTTCTCCCCCCACCCCCCTCCCCTAAAGCTTCTCACAGCCGCCCGGTCCCGCGGGGCGTGGGAAGCCCTGGGAAGAGCCGCACTTTCCCAGGGCCCGCAGCCCCCGGGGGGGTGAGGAGCGAGCGTGGGAAAGCGGCGCCCCCGGGGGGAGCCGGGCGTGGGAAACGGGGCTGCAGCCTCCCCTCCGCCCCCCCACCCCTCCCAGCACCTGCCCCCCCCCCTTGGGGGTGGCAGCATGGAGCCCCCCCACCGCAGGAACCCAGCTCACAGCCTTTGCAAGCATCGTCCAGCCCTGCTGCCCCCCCCCCCCCCGGGGGCGAGGTGGCTGGAGCATCCCTGCATCCCTGTGCCAGGGTGCCCCCATTTTTGGGAGTAGGGGCTACGCCTCTGCTGCCCCTGAGCACCCAGGGTGTCGTGGTGGTCCTGCTGGGGGGGTCACCCAGCCCTCTAGGGGTCTGCTTGAGTGTGTGGTGGGTGGCCAGCCTGGTGCTGATGTCTGGTGGGTGGGGGGGATTTGGAGAATATTTCCCCAGCGTAGGTCTGGCCAGAGCTCTGCTGCAGCAGAAACCCTCCCTCTTGCTTTTCCCGGGCCTGGCTTTTGAATTTTGCAGTCTCCAGATGAAGCTGGCCGAGGCATTGCTAGGTAGGACTCTTACTCCGGGCAATGTGACCCTTCCTGCTGGGCCTTCTTTGAATCCCCGCTGCCTGATTGTGCAGTGACTCTACAAGCAGTGCTCATCGTTTGCTTGTACTCTGGGAACTTTAAAAACCAACTTCAGAGGAGGATATTCTGCCCCTCCGTGCAGAATCCCCATTGTATTTGCAGGGGACATCTATCAGCCTGGAAGTATTAGTTTTCTAATCTTCTGAAAGGTAGGCTTCTGCTCCGGTCTTGGGGATTTGAGCTCCAAAAGAATTCTTTTTTTTTTTTTTTCAGGCCACTTCTTGCATAAACAGCCTTGTAAAGTGAGCTGGCCCTCTGAGGCTGCAGATAAGCAAAACAATATCAAAGACATCTAAGTCTCAGCGGTCTTTATAGTGGCTTCCAGAGCTTTGTTAGTAGGTTGAAGTAGAGATGTTGTCTGTGCTTTAAAGCCAGGGAGCTTTGCTAAAGCAAGTGATCGGTGCTGCCTTTCTGTGCACGTCTGCTAACGAAGGGGTCCTGCTGGTCCTCGGGATGGAGGATGAGTGAATTCAAAGAAATGTAGCCCAGTGAGTAACAGTGTGGGGGTCCTCCTGCATGCGTTCCCTCTCAGTTTTATTTTCTTGAACTATTTGTAGCACTTTCTGCTTTTCTTCCTATGAAAGATGGGACCTTTCTTTCCTTAGATCTTGAAAAAATTGCAGCTGGGCCTGCTGCTTCCATGTCCTCTGAGCACAGGTGATGCTGTTGCGTCCCGCTTGTTGAGCAGTGAAGCCTGAAGTCGTGGTGTCACTGTGACACAGCTCCTTCCTAGCACTTGGAGCCGTGCTGCTGCTCATTTTGCTGTTTTAATGTTGTAGATAAGGCCTTTGAGGGAGAGTTCAGTATCAGGAGCTTTGCAAGTACAGTGATGTCTCTGTGAGACATTTGGCGTGCCTGCGCATGGGCTTACTGAGTTTAGGACCGCTGGAGTTTGTGTAAATTATTCCTTCCTTCCCTTTTTCTTTTCAATGCCAATTCAATAAGACACTAAGAAAATACTCTTAAATATGTGTTCCTTGGATCTTTTCTTGTTTTATGTCCTTCCTCCTCTTTCCTTAGCATCTAATTTTGAGATGTTATCTCCCACTATAGCATTCTAATCAATCTAACTGAAAAGATTAAATCAGAAATAAGAGGTTGAGGGAAGTGCAAGGAGGGTAATGGGGAGAATAAAAGGGCTTTTGTATGAGTAATGACAAAACAACCTGATTCTTCAGCTGGGAAAAGAGATGTTTGAAAGGGTAGATGGCATCGCATTAATCATTTTATCTACTTCTTATGAGGATGACGTGGAGTGAGAGTTCATCTACATGTATTTCTCTGTCCTTAAAGAAAGAAGAGTGGATAGTGAATGTCACAAACTAATGTGCAGAAAATCCACAACTTATATATATATATACATATATCAGACTTACATATATATATATGTATGTATATTCTGACAAAAGTTTTGCACTGCCTCTGGGGATGCATTAAACCCAACATACATATTTCCAGTTGCGTAGGGCACAGGAGTGGCAGAGCTGAACCATTCCCTTGGAATTACGTCTTTACCTGCAATGCCAAGGCTTTCAGGGTGAGGGACGTGGAACACTTTTTTTTTTTTCTGGGTGGTTCCTTGACTTGCGTTGAGACAGAGCAGCCCTGTTCCCTGTGGAAAAGCAAATACACAATGAGTGATTCAGGGAGTTTCTTCCTTGTGGAGGTTGTGCTGCTTCCCCTTCTGTGTTTGGCATACTACAAATGAAAGTTCAGAAATCAACAAGCAAATACGTCATTCCTCTTACTGGGACTCAGATCTGGGTAGTGTTTTGCCATCCAGCAGTGTTGCTGCTTCTTAGGTAGGCGAACTGTTTGCATCACACAAACATACAGAGGCATGAAGCCACCAGGGGAAAAGGGGAGGTGGAATCTGCATTGCTGCTTGGGACATCTCATCTCTGGTGCCCACGGGAGGCAGCTGCTCTCCTCAGCATCCTTTTTTGGTCACCACAAAAGGCTGCTTTAATTTGCCATGAGTGGAGCATCCCACAAATACACCAAGAGCAGGGCAGGGGGGTACCCCAGATTCGATCATCTCTTTGAGGTGGCCAATGCTGTGAGTCCTGTGCCATCATCTATGATTTCATAGCACAGGGGCTTGCCCAGATCTGAGAGGTTATCTTCTTTTTGCAGAGTGTTATTGCAAAACTCGATGTTGTTTGCTGTGGTTGTGAAGCTGCAAGCAGCTGGTGTGGCCGGGCAGCTCAGAGCAGGCTGCCACCACACCTCTGCTACAGCTGGCGCTGTTTGCTAGCAGCAAGCAGGATCTTTGGTACAGTCCAAGGAACAAGAAACCTGCTTAGTTGACACAACGTGGAGGTTCTCGGAGCTGCTCAGTAGCTGTCAGGTTCTTTGGGATGGAAACTTCCAGTGGTGAGCAGGGTGTGTGCCAACAGCCCTCCCTTGGAGGCACAGTTTAATCTGGATGCTTTGTTTCATTGTGCTGCTGGCTGAGCTCGATGAACTTAATGACTTTAACCTTCTACTTTTGTTTTCCTAAGGTATCTCCTGTTAATAGGATCTTAAATTACAAATCTGTGTTGTGCCGGCTTTCTTACTCCACTTGTTATCCTCCCTCTCTTTCCATCTTACCCCGGTCGTTCAGAGAACAAGCTTAACAGAAAGCAGCGGATGGAGACAGCAGATAGTGAACAAATTGGCATTCACAGTTTTTTAATGAATTTCTGCAGCTGGGTCTGAAACTGGCAGAGCTTTCTGGGGAAACACAGACAGCAAAGAGCCCTGAAAATAGCCAGGTTATGAAAGCATGAAATGAGGAATGGGAACAACAGCCCTGACTGTCAATGCTTGCTGTGTACTTTCAGTGCAGTGTGATGCAGAACAGCTGCTTTTGCCATGTATTTGCTGCATTTTGCTAGGCCTATGAATAAATTCAGGGACTTAAATTATTTGCGACCAGTGCTCTAATGCCCTTGATGACCAGTGGTAAGGCAGCTGAACTGAATGCTGGTGGGTGCTGATAAATCAGAAATCATTGGGCTGATTTAGATTTCCTTTAGGGTGGGAGTCTAAAGTAGTTGTTAAGAGCAGTGCTTTAGACCAGCTCTGCATTTAAGGGTTAATTGGGGGCTGTATCACTAACGTAGGTGTGATCAAATCTGTTCCTTGTGTGGAATGGCAAAAATGCTTGGTCAGGCCTTCATGCGTATGATGGCTAATGTATTGTCTTATACTATTGTCAGTCCAGCAGCTGTTTTCACTTTGAGAAGCATTTATTTAAAAAGAAACCCTCTGCTAACATACGTTTGGTGGAGATGGATGAAATAATGCTTAAAGGTCCAAGTTTTTATTCCTAATAAGGCTTAGAAATCACCTCAGCGTGCACGGTGCTTTTCAGGAAGCAGCAATATCTGTCAGAGGCTGCAAGCTTTGACCTTTGAGACATGAACAGTAGGCTGGTGTGTGCTGCTCAGGGCTGAAAATGAACGTATCCGACGTCTGAACTTTATTTAAAACTCAGCCGAAATGTGAAGGCAGCAGTCTGCTGCTTGGCAAACGGTTTGCTTCAGCAACCTTCTCACATACATGCACCTGCAGGTGAATTGCAAGTATTAAATGGTTTACAATTTATAGCTACCTGCGTTATTTATCTGGCGTTCCCAGCCAGGTATATTCATCCAGGTCAGAAGAAGCACGTTGTATGCCCAGCAGGAAGCTTGGAGATCTGATCCTTCATGCCTCTGGGAAGGTTTCTAGGTCAAAAGAGAAGCTCTCAGCGCTAAGGTTGTTTAACCCCTTCATTTGGAGGGGTCCGAGGGCTTTCAAAGTGACTTTGCTCTGCAGTCAGAGGAGTTTGTGTAGGGAATTAACTGTACTCGCAGCTGATGAGGCCTGTGGGCGGGCTGTGTAGCATTGCAAGGCCAGCGTGCGAGCGTCCTGACAGCTGCGGCTCCACATATGTGTCCTTACTTCTTCAAGCTAACATCAGAAAAGGCTACCCGATGAACCTGAATGGCTTAACTCTGAGGAGGAGGTGGTGGGACGAGGAGGAGGTGGGACGAGGAGGAGGTGGTGGGGTGCTGCTCCGGGCCTCCAGCAAGTCCTGCAGGCGTGTGGTGACTGGAGCCTCCTCGTCCTGGGGCTGCTCTGCCGTGGGCTTCAGTGCCCTGCCGAGGACTTACATGGTGTCACAGCAGTCATGGCTATTTCCTAACATCTTACTTACAAGGTTATTTACTTTACAAGG